CTAACCCAGACTATGGGGTTAATTGTAACATTTCACTCTTTGTGTTTGAGACCATACCATGCAATGGGGTAATTGTGCTGCAGAGAAAATAGCTGCACTATTTAATAGCCGAGACATGTAAATACTTTGCATTACATTTTGAATCCACTACCTTAAAAGAGCTCCAATTTACAGACAAATGTCAAAAACGTTACAACTATCCCCAGTCTCCCCTACAAAAGCCAAGGGGGTTGCCACATGATTCGGAAGGCATTGTGGGTATTCTGGGCTCAGCCAATCAGAGCTACGTGAGCATTTTGCCGTAACACGGGCAGAAATATTGCCGTTAAGTGCCTTCGTAAGTTGAATTTTTCGTTAAATGGAGTATTCGTAAGTCGGGGGTCCACTGTAATTTGTTTTAAAATCACTGTAAAAATACTAGAGTTAGCCAAAAAATTTTATATTTTTTTTAAAACTGTAGTCCCAGTACATATGTTAAAAGCAATTTTAATTACAGAAAATAAAGAAGAGATTGAGATACACAGTGATGTAAAACAGTAATTAATCTTATATTCCTCTCTTTCAAAGGTTCGTAACTTCATCTACACAGTTAAGGCTTATCCAGACTTCACTATGGACACACGATTTGCTCAGCAAGTCAGAGACATCGCTGATGCAATTGAAAACAACCAGATGAGAAGTGCAGACTATCTCTCGGAGATGATGGTGCTGGACTATGGAACTCTTGTCGTCACTAGTGTGGATGCTGGGGCGGCTTTGGTGCAGGAGGACTATCTCCGTTCCTCATATGTGTCAGACAGCCAGTCAGAAAGTTCTTCTGTTAAAGCACAGGCTGGATTAAACTTCTTTGATAAGCTCAAGTTTGACATTAGCAGTCAAAGTGCCCAACAGAGCTCCTCACTTCAAACATATCAATCCAATATTCAGTACTCCCTCATTCAAAGCCATGGAGGCATGTCTTATCCTGGCATCACTCTGCAGAAGTGGCAGGAAAGTACCAGAAACAACCTTGTTGCCATCGATTGTTCAGGATTTCCTCTGCACTATTTCATAAACACCAACACTCTCACTGATCTGCCACACCCTACGATTAGAAAAGTTGCTCTTAAAGTCAGTCAGGCTGTAGAGCGCTACTACAAGATCAATACTCGCCCCGGATGTGTTGATGTCAACTCCAAGAACTTCAACTTCCAGGCTAACATGGATGATAATTCCTGTGAGGGTCCAGCTACAAACCTCAGCTTTGGTGGTGTCTACCAAGAGTGTGTTAAAATCAGTTCAGATGCAGATCCACTTTGTGATGCTCTGGTCCAGAAAAAACCCAGATACAGGTGATTTCTCCTGTCGTCCACCTTATTTACCAACTTTACTCAGATCAGAGGTGAGACAACAAAGTTACTCTAAGTATGAATGTCATGCAGAAAGTCATTCCTGTTGGATATTTTTTTAACTGTGATGAAAAACGCTGTCAGGACAACAACTATGTTCGTTCTGCTCACATCAACACCTACTGGTGCTCTGTAAATGGACGGGCTCCAGAAAACTCAGGGTATCTGTTTGGAGGTATTTACAACCCCTATCTCCCAAACCCCCTTATGAAAAGCAAAAGCTGTCCTCCAAACTTTATTCCACTAAAGTTCCTCTCAGATGGTGAGGTGATCTGTATGAGTAATGACTATGAGACAGGTACCAGATTCTCAGTACCATTCGGAGGTGTCTTCAGCTGTCAGTCAACCAACCCACTGGCAAGGAATCAATGCAGGTGCCCTCCCAAGTTCAGTCAGTACCTTGCTGCAATCAGTGATGGCTGTGAAATCCTCTACTGTGTTCAGTCTGGACTGTTCACAGGTGGAGAGCTCAAACCTATCGATCTGCCTCCGTTCACCAAACCTCCACTTATCAGTGTGCAAGCAACCAACACAGTAATGGTGATGACTGAAGGAGAAAACAGCTGGGTGAGAGTGGGCCAGACCAAGAAGTGGAAACTTGCCAAACCAGAAGAAATCAAGGAATTTATTCAAAATCTTCATCCTGAACTGAATCAGATGTCTAGTGGAGAAAAGGCAGGTGTAGCTTTTGGGGTGATTGGTATGATACTGCTGGTGGCCATAGTGGCAGTTTTCTTGGTGAAAAGAAGGAGGATGTCAGGGTTTAGAACTATGAGAGGTTATGAGAAAATACCTGAAGAGGCTGAGATGGATACACAACAAGATGTAATAATAACGTAATACCTTAATCAACTAGATACAAAGATTATGGTAATGTGACTCTACTGGTTGTTGTGCTTCTTACAGCACTGAAAAGTGTTAAGAGCTTCTATTTTGGATCAACCTTTTCAGTTTGGTTTTTTTGTGTTTTGTACTCGAGAACTTTATACTATTATACTATAGCTCTGGAAAAATGTTTTGACTCTTTTCAAAGCAAAAAGAAGGTGAAGAGATTTTCAAAGTTAACAGTAAGCCCAATGGCTCTCCCTTGAGGTCAATATGCACATACCATGTTTTATATTAATTCTATTTTTGCTCCAATAAAAGAACTTTGTGTATAATTTTCACACTGCTTGCAATAAACCGTGTATAATTCATAACCGAAGAACACTTTATTTGTAATTTCACAATGTCTAAATACAAAGCATATCATTATTTTTGTATTTAGATGCTGTTTGCATCATGGTCCAGTTACTAAGATCTATGAGATGGTTTTTTTTAACGTCGACTTAAGTAAGAGCTAGACTGGTTTTTAATTCATTTGAAAGTCTAACTCCAAGCCTTGTCAAAAACTACTGTAGACATAAATCTGTGGCACCACACAGGATACAAATAATTGCCTGATAATTGTTTATATCCTAACATTACTGTATTAAGAGCTAAAACCTCAAAGATGTCTGGAGTAATAAGTTATTTTAAGAAGTGTTTGTGAACTAAAAATCAAGAATGTGAGATACTATTTGTCCATGATCTAGATAGCTGCCGCGTGCTCCTGATGCGGGGAAATTTTTTCTGTTGGGAATACCTACCTTGGCATGAAACCGGGCAACTTCTTTTGGAGGATGCTGTTTCATTTTTGGCAGGGGGAACATGAGCTTTGAGAGTGTCTAAATTCTTCTTGCTGTCCTCCAGCAAGAAGAACTAGCAAATGTGTCTTTCTCATTAACTCAATGGAGGTTTCATTTACTTGCAACTGGACATGTTTTGACAGGTCCTAATGATTTTCATAGGCAAATATTATGCTACAGTTGTATTATATAGTACTCTGTGGTTGAGTGCGGGAGAAGGAGCCAAAAGTGGACACAAGCAAACAGAAACTAGAGTTTAACGAGCCTAATTGGACAAATACCTGGTTCCCATATCGTTTATTCTGTTCATCTGGACGTAGCGTTTTCAGTGAGAGAAATGTTTCATCACTCATCCAAGTGACTTCTTCACCCTCAGCTTACTACCTTATAAACAGTACTTTGTACAATGACTGAAACTAACACCACTTTGATCAGTAGTTGTTGATCAATGGTCATGAGAATTTGCACATTAATGATCAAGGAACTCACCTCACAGCCCATTGTTCATTCAGGTGCTAGTTTCATTGTGCAAATGCACTGTTTATAAGGTTGGGGAAACCTGCAGTCAGCTGAGATTCATGAATTCTTGAGTCTCAGCTGAATTAGTGA